GGTGGTGTTATTTGGGCCATGATGAGCATTCTGGCCTTGGTTTTGATGTCACAGCCAGATGCCCGGTGCAGCGACACGCCCGGATGGAAGTGGCTGTGCTCTATGATTCCTACCTGGTGGCAGGAAGAAGGATACCGATACTGGCAGTCTGCTGGGGCCATCCTCTTTGTGCTCAGCGTCAGCCACTCGCCCAGGTGGCAGAGATTCTTCAACACTGCACCAATCCAGTATTTCGGCAAGATCAGTTTTGCCATGTACTTGGTACATGGCCCTGTTTTGCATACCGTCGGCTACATGATTGAGAAGCAGGCATATGGTATGACGGGCATCGAGGGGTGGTGGTACAATGCCGGGTTCGTCCTCAGCTCGTTCGGTTGTGTTCCCGCCGTTATCTGGGCGGCTGACGTCTTTTGGCGCTTGATCGATGTTCCCACTGTCAAGTTTGCCCGGTGGTTTGAGACCAAGTGCATCAAGCAACAGTGAGGTGGCTGGGAGGTGCGTTTTGACAACATCTGATACCCCTCGTTGAGTCTGTTTCTTTTTCCTTTTGTCAGACAGTGTTTGATTTTGGGCCACCATTGTTGATGAAAATGGCCGGGACGGCGTTGAGTGTGGGTGAATATTGGCATGGGCCGGGGTACTGACTGTCTGCCCCGAGTCCACATGGCGTTAGGTACTGGGGCGGACCAGTGCACATATTGAGTGCAACCTCACCGCAGCTGTTAGCCTTTGCTAGAACATAATATCACAGAATATATGTTTCATTTGGCATGTGGACGGTGCTTATCATGGCATATAGGAAGCGTCATCCAAGGGTATCACATTCGCTTTTGCCTTTGAATTAAGAATGGACGTGTGCGGCCGGGACCTCCTCAGCCGACCATGCTCCTCTTGCGGCCCCTCATGCGGACGTCTTCCAGCTTGCGCAGAACCAAGGTCGACTGCTTCGCAGGCAAAGCCTCCTTGTAGCCCTCCAGCAACTCAGGGAAGAGGGATTCAGCGCGGGGGTGGGTGCTGCCGTAAGCCCGCTCCAAGACGTACAGGTCGACGGCACGGTCCTCATCCATGGAATTTTGATAGGCGAGACCAAAGTCGATGAGAACAACGTCGCCCTCCAGCGCACTGTCCTCACCTGCCTCGGGTCCGGTCCCGGCCCCGGCACCAGCCCCGGCCGCCGCTGTTGCCGTCGTCGGCTGGAGGGGCGGCCGCAGCATCATGTTGCTCGTCGTCAGGTCGCCGTGGATGACGCCCGACTTGTGCAGCCTGCCGACGGCGGCACCAACCTTGCGCATGAGGGCCTTGAGGTCTCGGTCCTCGCGCAGCCTCCTCTCGGCCTCGGCGCTCGGGCGGCCGTCTTCGGTCTGCAGCTTGACGGCTTCCTGTTGCTGCTGCTCCTCCTCTTCCTCGGGGACGGCGCCCAGGGCGGCGGCAGACGACGCAGGGGCGCGGCCTGCGGGATGCCGCCTGTCGAGCCAGTTGTTGACGGCGACGCGGACGGGGGGCCCGGCGATCCACTCGAGCATGAGCCAGCCGGTCGTGTCGTCGAGGGCGAGGACGGCGGGGACGAGGACGCCGTCGCGGCGGCACTTGTGGAGGACGCGGGCCTCGGCGAGAATGCGCGTGCGCGTGAGGCGGGCATCGAGGATCGGGTGGCGATAGGGTTTGGAAGGTCGGTATTTGAGGGCAGCGGGCCGGGAGGGGACGAGGTAGGTCGTCTTGTAGAGGCGGCCTTCGGCGCCTTGGGTTATGAGAGTCGGCGTGGGGTCGGCGTGTTGGAGGATGGGCGGCAGGGGGAAGGTGGTGGGTTCGGCCATTGTGGCTGCCGGTGTCTGGGAGGATTGGCTCGAGAGGTCTGGTGGTCGTCGAGGGATATCGCGGGAAAGGCTTGTTCGATGGTTTGCGATGACAGACGTCGAGATTGATTTTGGAGGGGTCATTCCATGTGGGGGAAAGTTTCCAGGCCGTGTCTCGTCTCGCAACATGTTGGCGGGGTTCGTTGGTGGGGTTCGACGTGTGCTGGCAGTTGGCAGCCGTGGCAGTTGGCGGGCGCCAGGCAGGAAGGAGCTCATGGCAACAGCGTTGGCTCCATCATCCTGTACACTTCTCCGCCAAGCATCACCACGAAAGGAGCGGCCTTTCCAACAATCCTGTTTATCAGTCGTTCCTGGAAGAACCAAGTGGTATTCTCGGACTATTCTTGGTGCACATTCACCAAAAAAGGATATCACATGCGCATCAAGTCTGCGGTGGTGCAACTCCCCCCACGACCATCGGAACGATGCCCATCTCACCAAAGCATCCTATCTACAACTCTCCTTGGATTTGCACACCACCGACAGCTGTCCATCGCCAGCGACTGATCGCCTTGACAGCAGACAAGTTGCCACACGAAATAGCCTATTACTGCCACCCACCCATCTACAATTCCACCCGCCGTACGCTGGGCAGCGAACCGCTGCTTGGCAATATGCAGGCTCGACTGCAGGCTGGCGGCAAAGCCGCGAACGCCGGTGCACTTGATCACCTCTCAATTTGAACAAATTGCATATCCCTTCCCCCCCAAGGATCTGGATGACCACCCATGGCCCCGCCGAGGCATGTACCTCAGCGAAGGATGCCAATCTCTCTCCTGCAGCTGATGCCCCTCAGCGGCCGAAATGTGCCCTGTCCCGAAGCTGCGGGAAGGTGAGCGTGGCGGATGGCGAGCCCCTGGGAGCTGTAGGAGCGGACGGATACTACCTTTGGGGCGGGGTGGGCTGCTGATTCCCGTACGCCTCCTCTCGCATCGCCGGGGCATGCACACACCTGTCGGTCGGGTTCTCCTGCGCAGAAGGTAAAGGTGGTGGGTATCCAATTGTCAAGGGTCTGGCCGTGGCAATCGAGAATGTGTGTGCGTGCGTGTTGTGTAACCTGCGACCCCGACGAAATTCGCCTTCTCTCAATAGCCCTTTGTCCTCGAGCCTTGTTCAGTCAATACAGGACAGCCATGGTCAGAGACCAAAGCAACACGTTTTGATTCTCGAGAGCGCGAGCGCTTGTTCTCCCCCCTCGCTGCCTGCTAACAACACCAAGCTTGCTCGGTTGGCCCTCTTCACCATGAAAACCTTCAGGTTGGCCCTCTTCGCAACGACGCTACTATCCAACCGCTTCGCGCTCGGCGAGGCTCAGCAGTTTGGAGCCATTGAATTGTCGCAGCAAACCATCGTTCCTCGATTCTTCGTCGACGCTCCCCAGCTCGTGCAGCGCGACGGACCGCCGTGTCCACCCGATCGTCACAGATGTGAGTGAGAGAGAGGCATCATCAACGTTTCCCCGGTGCCCCAGCCAGGCGCGTTCCTTGACTAACGCGACCACCTTGCGCGACCCCACAGGCATCGACGTTGGCCAGGACAACCTCTGCTGCGCAAACGATCACTATTGCTACATCAACCCGGAAGGCAAGGGGAAATGCTGCGCCATCGGCTCCAACTGCGACTCGGCCTGTGACGCCACGGCCTATCAGTGTCCCACGACCATCACGCGCCAGGGCACGACCTCGACTTCGAGCGCGTGCTGCGGCCGCAGTTGCCCGACTACCAGCTTCTTCCGTTGCGAGGATGAATTTGGCGGCGAGTGTTGCCCCCACGGCCACACGTGCGCCTCGAGCGGCATCTGCCGCAGCACCCGGACGCCGACCCCGAGCGCCCTCGTCACAGCCATGGACGCCGGCTGCACGGCCGCCACGCAGCGTGCGTGCCCCGACGAAGGCGGCTGCTGCGACGAGTGGATGCACTGCACGCGCGTGTCTGGCGACCCTTTTGCGCCTCGGCACCCGGACACGGGTTACACCTTTACCCCCGATTCGGGCGACGGCGGCTCCGGCGGGCTCTCGACGGGCGCTAAAGCCGGCATCGGCATCGGCATCGCCGTCGGCATCAGCGCCCTCTTCGGCGTCTTCGCCTGGGTCTGCATCATCCGCCGCCGCCGCCGCCAGCGCAGCCTGCCGCCCTCGGAAGGCCAACAGCAGCAGCAGACGAGCCGGACGGCGCAGAGCCCCGGCCAGACCGTCTCCGAGGTGACGGACCTCTCTCGCCCCACGCGCGGCCGCGGCCTGACGCAGGATTACTTTGGCCCTGCCGCCGTCGAGGGGCCTTACACGGAAAACGCCGCGTCGACGACCACGTCGCCTGGGCGCGGGGTGCCGGTGCAGGCCAACTCGCCTAACGACATTGCTGCGCCGGTCGAGATTGACTCGCGCATCACGAGGGGCATGGAGAGGACGGGGGAGACGCAGCCGGCCGCCGCCGCCGCTTCGGGTCCTGAGACAACGGAAGGACGGTTCGAGCTCGGCGTGGGAGACGAGGTGCTGCCGCAGCGGAATGGGTGGCAGTCACGAGTTTTGACACCGGGGAGCATGACAAGTGTTTCGGGGTTGGAATATCGAACGCCAGGTCCGTGAGGAGCCATTGCGCTCCTTGATTCTATTTCTGTGACAGATAGCAAAGCGCGGAAGAAAGACGCCCAGTGAAACGAATGATGACGATGATGACTCTGAACCGCCCCCGTCCAGCCTAAAGAAAAGCAAAATGAAAGACAAAGAAACCGGCCCTCCTGCTGCGTTGGCTACCATTTTTGAGAAAAGCAAATGAGAGGGGAAAAAAGTGAGAACCTAGTAGCACCGAGTAACCAACGAACAGAGTAAACGCCTGAGGAAGCATTGAGATATTATGCAGTCCAATAACAGGGGGGCGAGAAACAGCGAAACAAACCGGCTGACTTTTGCGTTGCGCCATTCTTTTCTTCTTGCTGAGAATACAATCCCAGCTAGCCCGTCTCTAAAAACAAAACCCTTGATGTAAACTGGAGAAATGCTCGCTCATCCTGCTGTTCCCCTAACGCCGAGGGGAATCAAAGGGATGAATACCGTAAAAATGCAACGCAGCCAAGCTGCGCAAGCCTGCAAAAGAACGCAGGAAAAACAAAAATCAGGATGCAGTGTCGACTCGAGAGCTCCAGCCGAATCACAAGACGCCACCAAAGGGCGTGCTCGTGCGCAAGTCCTTGACGAGATCCTCGACGCTGCTGAGGTGCCGCCCCAGGAGGGCCTGCTTTTCCTCCGTGCTCAGCGTGCCTTCGCTCTCGCTACCGGCGCGGCTGCGAGCGCTGGCGCTGACGCTGCTGTCGGCGCGCGAGTGACCGCGCTTGTGCCCAAAAGCGCTCGCCAGCTTGCTCGGGCTGCGCTGGAGCATGGCGGGTACTGAGTCGCGGGCATCGGCCCAAGGGATAGATGGGACCTCGGGCATGAGGTAGAAGTAGAGGAACTCGACCAGCTTGAGCTTGACTTCGCGGGAGGTGGAGCGGGACTTGAAGAGCGAGGTGACGGTGAGGAGGCCATCGAGGGCCTCGAATGTGCGGGTGTTTGTGGGTGTGTCGATGAGGGCGACGACAACGGTGAGGAGGGTGGCGGACTGGATAGCGGGGCAGTTGACGGGTTCGAGGAGGTCGAGAAGGAGCTGTATTCTCATGTCAGCGAGGAGCGAGGAGGCTGGGAGACCCGCACGGCACTTACGTTCATGTACTGCTCGCGCGAGAAGAGGGATTTGCTGGGCGGATGCAGCAGCAGTACGCCCTGAATGGCATCGAGGGCACTGAGGATCAGGAGGTCGTTCTGGCCATCGGAGCTCTTGGCCATGAGTCGGTCGAGTGTGTTGATCAACCGCAGAGCGACGTTCCACTCGAAGCCCTCCTGCAGTTTGAAGAACTCGCGGAAGGCCGGGTCGTCGCCAAGGGCAGCCAGAGATTTGCGATCTGGGCCGTCGTGCTCGTCGTTGGGCGCGTCGCTTGGGTCGGGTGACAGCTTGCTGTCGGAGCGCTTGTGGCCATTGGGTTTGGTGGGGGAGGAAGAAGAACTCGAACGGGACGGTGTCGACAGGCAGATCTGGGCAAGCAGTCCTTCGACCTGACGCAGGCCCTTGCGGATCTTGAGACCGTCATAGGAGGAGAGGTTGTCGAAGGCGAGAGAGAGAAGCGCTTCCATTGTGACCGTGGCGCCCTCGTTCGCCGTGAATAATGCGATGGGGTATCAAGTAGAATTGGAAAGACAGAAAAAGGAGAGTCAGGGTTTCGGTGGTGGTTTCGTTGATTGGTGTGATTTGTGTGGTTTGTGTGATTGAGAGTGTTGGACTTGTTGACGTTTTTGGGGGGTTTTGGTTCAGGGTGTTAATACAGATGGAGCGAATGGGAAAGAAAGGCACACGCTGCACTTCCTCACGGGCTGTGGAGCAGTGGACCGATGGAGGGGGAGTGTGTGCGAGACGAAAAGAGGAAAAGGGAAGGGAAAGGGAGCCAAGGTCGCGATGGATTCCAATGTCACGGTTTAAGGGTCAGATGGAGGTCGAGGGTGGTGTTTAGATGGGCGACAGAGCAGGTGCATCGGGCTGCGACGACTGCAGGTGGCCCGGCAACCGCAAGGGACCAGGGGCTCCACTCGGGCGCATGCATCATGCACAACGGCCCATCGAGCCTGCCTTGCCTGCCTTGCCTGCCAGTGGGCGCCCCCGCCGGCGGGGAAACACCCATTCCTCCCCCACATTTTGCCTTTTTTCTCCCATTCCGCCGGTTCACTCCTGCCCGTCCTGCCCGTCAACGAGGTAGAAGGTAGCACACCACATGGGCTCATGAGTCAACAGCCCACCTCGGAACATGCTTGGGTAGGTAAGACAAGCAGACTCAGAGGGTCAGAATGTTCGGAATTCTTACGACATGACCCATGGCCAGGTCAACCCGAGCATGCCCATGTCGTTGACACCTTACTGTCACCGGCAACCCAAGATGAATGGAGCCCTGCCAGCTCAGCTCACCTCGCCGGCGACGGCAGCTGTATACGAGAACTGCTCTGGCATCTTGAAGGAGCAGCAGCAGCTTTGATCGACCCAGTCTGATATGTCTGGCACCATTGCTGTACATGGTATCAGCCCATATGTGTCTCACCTCGGCTGTCGGCGCCGTGGCACAGTAGCAGAGCAGGTCAACACCAACGATGTGTAGTCGACACATTACAAAACGGCCACCACACGGGGCATTGCCCATGACAGTGCAGTTTTTTTGAGAGGAAGTATACAGGATGAATGACGTTAAACTAGGTGGTGCGTCTGACTGAGCCACCAGCACATACAGCTCGAGCCTCTGTGCAATGCTGCTTACTTCCGAACCCTGCGCAACACCGGCTCAAACGAGTCGACTGTTGTTGCTTCCACGCAAGGCGCGGATGAGACAGCTTCGAGTAGTGCCGCCTCTGGAAGATACCAGTGGTCCGCAACATGAGCACCTCGCAACCTCGTCGAGCCACCAAGGCGGAAGCCTTATCCAAACTGCATGGAGAAAACAAGAGCTTCGGGCACTCTGGGTCTGTTGCGGGCGTGCGGGCGTGCGGGCGTGCGAGTGCATCATGCCCCAAGAAGCTTAGCCCGCAAATGTAGGGCAATGTCCAACATCGCCGCGCATATCTGACCTGAGTGCCTGTTCGTGGCTCGTGTGTCGATTTTCTACTGTGCCCTCCTGCGCCCTTAGTGTTGCATGTTGCGAAGATCCGAACTCTGGATCTCGCGACAGTGTCTAGTGAGGCGATCTACTCAGAATGCGAGGACACTGAATACTGCCTACGATCAACTCGCAACACATGGCTGGTGTGACAGGCTTGGGCCATACCAGGCGCCAGGCGCCGGGCGCCAGGGTAAGGTGAGGCAAGCGGTGTGCCTGATCGCCGCTTCTCCACCTGTCACAGCAGCATACCCGCCCACGCCGTTCGCGACCAGGGGCGCTTGGGGCGCAACAACGCTGAAGTTTCCTACAGGCGACCACGAGATCAGACTGCACGACGCACGACGCACGGCGTCCTCGGCATGGCACAGCACAGCAGTCGAAATTATGCTGCCAGATTGGCGACAGGTGTGTGAGAGATTACCCAGGCCCGCCCACGGCCGTGGCGCCAATGAAGCGAGCCAGCAGACGCCGTCAAGGTGATGGATCTGACTTTTGAACGAGAGCGGTGGGTGGGACGGGCGAGCGAGATGAGTATGTCTGAGCGGCGGGGGCTTGCTTGACCTGAAGACCGCAGAAAGCCATCTGGGATTCGACGGCCAGCAAACGACGGCCAACAAACGGTTTTGGGGACGATGCGAGATGGTTCAGAGACATGGAGATCAAGCCGCATCCTCGTCGTTCGGGACCATCTTCTTCTCGGCCATCATTTATTTCTTCTTTCCAAGAATCTTTCCAAGAATCTTTCCAACGGCCCTTTGCACTCGCATCCATCCCGCCGCGGCTCCATACTTGCAGGCGATTGCGCATTTGACCGTCAGTGGTCATGACACGTTGAGGTAGGCGCACAGGGCCTGATGAGGACCTCGTCGTGTCACCACTTGTGTTCCAAGACCGAGCAAAGCCTCCGCGGACCCATTTGATCAATCCTACCCAGGCCTGTTCTGTTGGTTCTCACGAGTCCTGCCCCGGTCGCTCCGAGTATCGATGACGTCTACTACATGCTGCGGCGCTGTCGGCGTTGCAGCAACACCGACACCGACGACGACTCCAAAATCACCCGCACCCCGCGGTCAATCGATAAGAGCTCCAGACAGCTCTCGCGACACAAACTGCAATTCCTCTCCTCACGATCACGAGCCTGTCAGCCACAACGCGAATCTGCACCACCGTTGGGCGGCGGCAAAACTGCAACGCCGAA